GTTTGGTGGCTGACGTTTGGCAACTCGAACTTTCAGCTTCCTTCATAGATTTTCAATTGGATTAAGGTCTGGAGACTAGCTAGGCCACTCCAGAACCTTAATGTGCTTCTTCTTGAACCACTCCTTTGTTGCCTTGGCCATGTGTTTTGGGTCATTGTCATGCTGGAACACCCACCCACGACCCATTTTCAATGCCCTAGTTGAGGGAAGAAGGTTCTCACCCAAGATTTGATGGTACATTGCCCCGTCCATCGTCCCTTTTGATGTGGTGCAGTTGTCCTGTTCCCTTTGCATAAAAACACCCCCAAAGCAGAATGTTTACACCACCATGTTTGACAGTAGGGATGGTGTTCTTGGGGTTATAGGCAGCATTCCTCCCCCTCCAAACACGGAGAGTTGAGTTGATGCCAAAGAGCTTGATTTTGGTCTCATCTGACCACAACACTTTCAACTAGTCTTCCTCTGCATCATTCAGATGTTCAGTGGCACTCTTCAGATGAGCCTGGACATGTGCTTTCTTGAGCAGAGGGACCTTATGAGCACTGCAGAATTTCAATCCTTGTCGGCGTAGTGTGTTACCAATTGTTTTCTTGGTGACTGTGGTCCCAGCTGCCTGGAGATCATTGACAAGAACCTCACGTGTAGTTCTGGGATGATTCCTCACTGTTCTCATAATCATTGAAACGCCACAAGGTGAGATCTTGCATGGTGCACCAGACCTAGAGTTGTTTTGTGTTTCTTCCATTTGCGAATAATTGCACCAACTGTTGTCACCTTCTCACCAAGCTGGTTGGCAATAGTTTAGTATCCCAGACCAGCCTTGTTGAGGTCTACAATCTTGTCCCTGACATCCTTGGACAGCTCTTTGGTCTTTGCCATGGTGGAGAGTTTGGAATCTGATTGTTTGATTGCTCCTGTGGACAGGTGTATTTTATACAGGTAACAAAATGAGATTAGCAGCACTCCCTTTAAGAGACTGCTTTTTACCTGTATGAAAGACACCTGGTAGCCAGAAATCCTGCTGAATGATAGGGGATCAAATACTAATTTTCCTCATGAACATGAAAAACAGTGCATAATTTGTTAGACATGCATTTCTTTTGAATTTTTTGTTGCTCTTCAGTCTCTCAGTGTTACAGTACACCTACCATTCAGTTTTTAGACTGATCATTTCTTTGTGAGTGGGCAAACATTCAAAATCAGCAGGGGAACAAATACTTATTTCCTTCACTGTATATACTTGATCTGTGCTCCCTTGGCGTTCATGGGTAGGGGGCGCTGGCGTCTGCCGGTCCGGGGGTTCTGTGATTCTGTACAGCACCAGTCACACACCAAATTCAGGCCTATGATCTGTGCCACTATTTAGACATTTGTACAATCTTGGAATTGGCACATGTGGCACAGTGTGACCTAATCGTAGCGGCTTCCCCAAACGGCTTGTAAATACCCATATTAGAAAGGGGGATAAAGCCTGCTTGAAAAATGATGAATTGCTCGCAGTGAAGTGAACGGACAAAAGGGACGTTTTTGTCCTGTCTTCTATTCACGAAGACACGACCATCAAAGTAGATAAGAAGTGTCTGTGATATTGAACTTGTTTGTGACATTTAGAAATTATATATTAGACTGCTTTTTTTACCGCCCACGTTGTCGGGGTGGTTTTGGTCTCCCGAACGTTCATCACTACTATATTGCGGCCCAAGTTACTCCTCTTATTCAGCTTTTTTCTCTCAAGGACTTACCCTTGTGGGTTTTGATAGATACTTTGGACACACATCCCCTTTTGCCTTTAGCCTTGCCCTAGCTTCCTCTGTCCTTACGGCCTAAACTGTTGAATCCTGTCCTGGCTCATTCTTTGAAAATTTGGGACTCATGTAAGTATTCGGCGGGTCTACTTTCCCTGCATTTACCTCTTTTGCAATTATTTGACTGTCCGCTTTTTTCCCTAGCGGACTCTGATAAGATGGCCTTTCGTTGGCGGATAACTCATGGTTTTACGACGGTTCACTCGTTAATCATGGGTTGGGGTATGCATACGTTTGCGCAGCTTCGAGAGAGTCATGCTATTCCTCCCTCAGAGTTATTTTGTTATTTGTAATTATGCAATTTTGTTGTACCTTTGATTCGTAGACGGGATTCCCCCCGCACTTGTTCTGGTTTTGAATCGCTTTGTAAGGCATTGGCTTCCACTAAAGGTGCCCTATCTCAAATGTTTTTATCAATCCGGAATCAAATGGCTGAACCTCTACTTGCTTACTGTGTGCAACGGAATGTGGAGCTTCAGACAGAAATTTCTGCTGAAGATTGGGGGTCTATGTGGCAAGGGATTTCCTGATGCTCGCGTAACATACCGGCATTGGAGAACTCCTATAAAGTAATTTCGAGATGGTATTTTACCCCAATTCGATTAGCTAAATTTATACCAGATTATGACTCTCGGGACTGCCCTCTAGAGGTTACGATGCTCCATATTTGGTGGACCTGTCCAGTGGCCCTCTGCTTGTGAACTAGGGTTTATAATCTTATTTATTCAGTTACGTCCATCAACCTTAGAAAAGATCCTATTGAGGCCTTACTATTTAATCCACTTCGTGGCCTACCTCGTTGACCCCGCTCACTGGTCAATTTTTTTTTGTATGGCTACTAAGCAGACTATTGCCAGTTCTTGGAAGTCTCCCACTTTACAATTTGAGGAGGTCAGGTCCAGGATCCAAGGCTCCTTTATCAATGAAAAATTGATGGCGGTGTTGGTGGATAAGCATGATAAGTTTCTCTACATTTGGCAACCATGGGTGAATTACCATCCAGTTTCTTGTTTTACCATGAAGCTCACTAATCTATGATATTTTCTTTTTTGCCTTTTCAATCCCCCAATGTGGGGATCGTGTCTCCCGACTCTCCCCCCCCCCCCCAAGCAAACTTCTTTTCTTTGCCGACCTGTCTCTTTCTTCTCTCTGTTCTTTTCCTTCTCTTTTGTTTTTCTGTTTTCTATGGATTGGGGGGGGGGGGGGGGTCTGGGTTTTTTTTTACCCCTTGGCCCTTTCTAGATCTACTCAACTCTTTTTTCTTCTCTCTTCTTTCATATGGTTTGTTTATATTAGACCAATTGTCTATCATTTGCTATTGTTATATAAAAAATCTCTGATTCTCAGGAACAATATTGCCTCAAGAGGGCAAGGCTCTCTGTGTTTTTTTTTGCTGCCTTTATTGAATGTAGCTTTTATATTTCTGAATGTGATTGTGGGTCTCGCGGCCCTCTGTCTTACACAGTGTTATCTAGACCCCGGCGTGGGTCAGACGTAAGACGTAAACCGGAAGTAGCGGAGCGGCCATCTTGAGAGAGGTTCTGTATACCCTGTGCTCTACTGGATGGATATTACACTGTTTCTCACTGAGAATACATACGATTTTAGAGTTTTTTTTCTTGTAAGTACAATTTTAATAAAATAGACCATTTATACAATTTACTGCACTATATGGTCTTTCTCTCTTTTTTGAACTATGATATGATGCTTATTGCTATTGGAGATTGGATCAGTGTGGATTAAGAGGAGTCATCTCACATCTATTTATGCTATTGGACATTTGTAGTTCAGTAAGGTGCATGGTTTGGAAGGTGGTGGAGAGTGTTTTTTTTTCGTTTCACTAAGTGGTGTTGAAGAGGGGAGCACTTATTACATGTCCAAAGGATAATACACTATGATGCATTTTTCTTTGGAGGTATCTCTAAGGATGATGATGCATCTATAGGATCAGCCGTGACTGGATTCCTATGGGGAATGAGATGTAAAGCTATATAAAGTATTTTTTTAGGGTAAGAGTATTTAATTCAACCACATTCAGCGGACACTGGGTGATTTTTTATACATTTTGAACACAAGTACACATTTATAATTGATTTTGCTATATATTTTTGAGGCTAATGCACTATATATAGTGATTTGTTTTTTTTTTTTTGAGGTACACATGGACACAAAAAAATTGATTTTGTAGATGGATCAAGTTTAAATATTATATTTTGAAGATTCACAGACGCTGAGGAGGTTTTTCTGACTTTGGACTTCCTGGGGAGAAAGTGTGACTTTTTGTGCGTCATGGGGATTTATTTGATTTGATTTTGATAACAATTTTGTGGGTACACCGATTTTGGTATTCATAGAAAATTCTGGATATATAGGTGGAACTCATGCAGAACACAGTATGCATATTAATGCCACTCCAGCCAATCACAGGGAGTGCAGCCCTGAGGAATGCTGGGAGAACGTATTTATTCTTGGGGCGGTCACTAGTAGAAATAGAGAGGGTAAGATTTAGGTCATTTTCATTTTGTTCTCCAGTAACCCCTTTTTTTCCCAGAATATAAGCCATAGAATGTAAAATATGGCATCTGTAATCCATTTATTCTCTCTATATATATTCTGGATGTCCCTGCATGTTTCTTTTTAAAACAGCAGCAACCCCTAAAAGCTATTTTCCCCTACCTGTTTAGTCTAGCTCTGCTTTTGTATGTAGCCAGGTTTCTGCTGCATATATGTTCTAATCTGTTTGAAAGTAATTCTATATATCTGAATTTCAGATTTTTGTGACAAAATCCTAGGTTCCATAGCTGTATTTAGAGAAAAAGAACATCTTTCTCAAGCACCTACTCTTTAATAACCTTTTTTGGGCCACAAAGTTAACTTCCTTCATCCATAGCCTTGGTAGCACAATTATTTTCACTGTTCCATATCTTTATTGGGGCATAAATCCCTTGTGTTTAATATCCTTATATTGAACAAGTAAGAGCACATACTCAGTACTTACAAAAATTAAAATGATTACAATGTTGTTTACCCCCAAAAAATAAGATCTTGAAACACCAATATAGCTTCCTTTTTTAAGGAATTTAATAAAATCATAGTATTTACTAAAATATTTATTACTTTAAAAAAAACCAACTCTTTAATTTACTTAAAAGGCCGGGTCTTCTTACACTTCTGTACAGTTATATGAAAGTCTACCTTTTCTGATTCAACAAAGTGAGTAGCAATTCCAGCTTTCTGCACATCTGTCCCCTTTAGCCGGAATCCAGTAAGAGCAATATATAAGCCAAGTTTGCCAGGAAGCCGTGGTAAGAAATACCCTCCTCCAACATCAGGAAATAGTCCTTTAATGGGAGAAAAAAATGAAAGAAGAAGTTACTGCAGATTAGCATATATGCTACATAACAGTCAAAACACCAGACAGATAGTATTATTTTCAAATAATTATAGGATAAGAGGACCCGAGGGATCACCTACTATTGAAGTCTGACATATATTAACACTAAAAATATAGAACAAATACCTAGTAACTCAACAGTATAATCTACTAAATACTGTATATATGCTTCATTATAAACCAAACACAAAATAGTATTCACTGCAGTAAACCAGTATTAGAAACTAATTATACAAGAATGATATACTATGTCAAACTCAACGCATCATCAAAAACTAATGATGTCATCAAAGAAAACTTGTCATCAAAGAAAACAATTACTCAAGAATTATAGTGCAATTAGAAAACCTGTAGTTAATTAATATGGAGACTGCCATTTATTAGATTTAGTGTTTTTAGCCTTTGTGATTTTGCATCAATAAAGAGAATTATATGTTGTGAATGCCCTTGAAAGTTCTTTTATGGGGTACATTTGCTATTGAACTGTGATAAGTGAGCACTGAGACCCGCTTCCATCTATTATATGGGGAAATTCATGGCGGAATCCCATGCAGCAAGTTTTCTTGAATAGAGAACTCTTGGAGAGTTGCTTCTCCATCCAAGAGTTTACCCTGGGAGTGCCATGAAATTGTTTTGTTACAAGGCTACAAATCACCCCTGGTATCTCTGCAGGAAGACTAGAAACTTTTCATTGTTTCATAAGTACCATTACTTTAACCATTCATACAAGGTGCATATATTTTATTTTGGGAATGTCAAAAAACTTATTTTTTTAAGCTAAAGATCACTTTTAATGCCTGACTTGCTCCATACACTTGTGATTTACTGTTCACAGCTAATAAAGAAAATGTTATTAAATAACAGCTAATAAAACAGATAACAGCTAATAAAAATGTATCATAATAAAAACCACAAGAGCTTGTGTTTGGTAAAAACACAATACACACTACCTAGTACTTAACTGACCAAAAGAAAGTGGGGAAAAATGCAAACTTTCTCTTGCACCAAAACCCAATATCATGTAATGTCCACAGTTCATGTATATTTTCCTTAAAAAAAAGTAATGCTTTATTATCTTCCATGGTAACCGTGTACCATATCCTATAATGTCGTGAACCATCTCCTATAACGTTGTGAGCATGCACACCATGTATCCACCACCATTCAATCCTGTGCTCACCTCCATTTTTTGACCTGTCCTCTTACAGGTCAAAAATGCTTGTTTCCCTTTTATGGGAGTCCTTAAATCACCTCCTTTCCTCCTTATGGGCTCCCCTCAATTGTGATTTTCTATCCAAGGACCATTCGCTTATATACTCTGTCCTGGTATCTGGCCTTTTAAAAATGTGCTCCCCGTCCTGCAGCAAACTCACATATAGACAAGTATCTCCATAGTGCAGTACGTATTAAAAAAATAGGTTTATTTAAAATAAATTGCACTCACATAAGTGTAAATTTGGCAAACATAAACATATACAGCGGGGCCGCGGCTCCTGCATCACTTCAGGTTCAGGCTCTCCCAGCGCCCTGGCTTAACCTACATGAGTATTGTCATGGTCACGTGACTTCCTCAGTAGTACGTAGTCAGGAAACAAGCGTTTTTGACCTGTAAGAGGCCAGGTCAAAAAGTGGAGGTGAGCTCAGGATTGAATGGTGTTGGATACACGGTGTGCATGCTCTCAACATTATAGGAGTTAGTTCACAACATTGTAGGAGATGGTACATGGTTATCACGGAAGATAATAAAGCAGCACATTTTTTTGAAGGAAAATATATATGGACTGTGGACATTATATGATATTGGGTTTTGGTGCAAGAGAAAGTTTGCATATTGCTGATAATTAATTCAATGTATGATGTGATGTTTTTGCTATGAAATTCTATTATAGGAAGGCACAGCATTACACGTGACTAATAATTGGATTATTAATTTATTGTGGGAACACTTTATTGTTTGCAGCCACCCTCAATATAGGTTTTCATACTGGTGAATATTATTTTTTGTAGCATATTGGTTCACTAATATGCTTTACACATAGGTGGCACGGGATATATCCTTTTTTATTTTTGAAGTGGGGAAATAACAAGGCTTTTACTGTAAATAATAATTAGAGTCGAATGAATGCTTTTACAAAATCTTCAGCTTGTGATGCAGTAAACAGTTTCAGAATGAGTATAATGAAAGAATTCAGCCCAAGTAGACCAAAAAGCATTCCCTGGATTTAATGTGGAGGGTCAAACAGGGACAATTAGAAAGGGTAAAGCAGGATTCCTCAGCTAACAATTTATCTGTCAAGTAAAATAAGCCTTTTTATCTTCTGGCAAGAATAAGAGTGTCAGGGACCATCGCGACGCATGGGTCTGCACACACGTAGGTGTCTGTCAAGACATGCAGGCAGCAGGGCAATAGGACCCAGGCGCACCCGTCGTCTATGACAGTGCTAGGCAGGCACTAGGACCTAGGCTGCGCCTGTCAGGTGCAGGGCGGGCTACTTAAACCAGCCCTGCACAGACACTTGTTGCCGAATGGTCTTTCTGCATATCCTGTTACCTGTGTTGTGAGTACTTTGATCTGGATTGTCTGACCTAGCTGCCTTCTCCTGTCCTGACCCCTTGGCTTGCCCCTTGATGCGTCTTGCCAAAATTGCAAGACGCATCAAGGACATTGCCTTCCTTGCCAGGGGTATCATTCTCAAACGAGGGAGGTCTGATACGGAAGGAAGGATTGATCGTAGTGCCAGAGGAGGTACAGACGCAGGTCTTGGGGCATTGTCACGACCACCCAATGGCAGGACATTTTGGATTGGCGTAGACGCTGGAGTTGCTTAGACGCACCTTCTGGTGGCCTAACATGGCTGGAGATTGTGAGCGATACGTCATGTCCCTGCACCATCTGCCAAAGAAACAAGCCACCCAGAAAAAAAGGCCTGGGGTTTGTTACGTTCTTTTCCCATACCTGTTCGTTCCTGGCAAATGATTGCCATGGATTTTATAGTTGAGCTTCCCCCGTCCCAGGGCCATACCACAATCTTTGTTATTGTTGACCGCCTGTCAAAGATGGCTCATTTTGTGCATTTGAAAAGCACCCCATCGGCTGTGGAGACTGCTCAGATTTTTATCAGAGAGGTGATCAGATTACATGGCGTCCCGGAAGACGTGGTGTCCGATCGAGGAGTGCAATTTACTTCCAAATTTTGGAGGGCTTTATGCAAGGCACTTGGCATTAAACTGTCGCTCTCCTCTGCGTTTCATCCCCAGACCAACGGACAGAGGGAAAGGACCAACCAGACCCTGGAACAATATTTGAGGTGCTATACGTCCTTTCTGCAAGACGATTGGCTGACACTCCTGCCCTTGGCGGAATTTGCTTATAATAATGCAAACCACTCAGCCACGGGACAATCACCATTTTTTGCAAACTATGGGTTTCTCCCCACCTTCTTGCCTGACTTGATTGCTGAGAGCGCAGTTCCAGCCACCCAAAGTATGATCAATTTTTTTTCTAATGTAGCACTGCCCCTTGGGACAAGCTGGAATATATTATGGGTCCTGCGCTTAATAGATCCAACCCTAAGCAAACCCAATCCCTCTGGCACAACTGGTAATGAATAGCAAATACCCCGCCAAGAAATTTGCTGACACAGGGTTAAATGAAACAAGAACAATTTTATGGAGAATGAAATGCAGTGTAGAGGGGTGGGGTCCCCCTTTCAACTTCTTAACTCACTTTTCTTCTTTTATGCAATGCAGTAAATTTGGTCTGCCACTAGAGGGCTTCACAGCCAAGAGTCTCCGGATGGCAGAGCCGTAATTTAAGCAGAATACAACTGATATCAAACAAATAAACTTACTTATGCTCTATCAATGAAATGTATTACCCACACCGGTGTATGATTCTGCTTCTGAGGGGCGTTAGCCAAAAATCACCTCAGAGTCAGAACAGAATGCAATAAAGAGGTACCTCTAATAAACCTTAGTAGCTATTATAATAACATACACTATTTTATACCACACAGAATAAAATGAACGTATTCTGTTTTTAAATTTTAAATATCACTTGTGCTTTTGCATTTACACGCATATATATGTATACACGTTTATTCTGTGGATTCTCTCTCTCTCTGTGTGTGTGTATATGTATATATATATATATATATATATATATATATATATATATATATATATGTATATGGAAAGGTGGTTTTTTTTTTTTTTTTGTACGTTTTGTATATATACACTTTTTCTGTATGTGACTTTTTACATTATGATTACTATTATTACTATACATATTACCATGAGTATTTTCATGTGCATTGCTACGCTCAGTTAACAGTATCACCACCTGTTATACCATCATGATTTATGTAATTAGTTTGAGGGGAATTTGTATTTGTATATGCATTTGTTTTTTTACCAGCTCTGATGAAGAAGGGAGCACCCTTCGAAACGAGTTAGATTTATACCCCCCCCCCTTTTTGATTTACCTGTAACCCTGTTTGGATTATGGTTACTTATGCCTGTTATACAATCATTTTGTGAGTATATTTCCTTATTAATAAAATTAGTCACTATTTATTGAGGTAATGCGCAAGGTTTGTGCGCTCTTTCTTTCATCTTCCTCTACAGCAGTAAAAGCAACCTGTTACATGCTTTTTATATACACGCGGAGAGAAAGCAAAGTTAGTACACACAGGAAATTAAATTATTCACACTTGCATAAGAATCTGGCAGAGGAACCTCCCACCATGTAGCAAAGTGAGGGTTGTCCTGCCCATAGGCCACACTAATGGGAATGGCCCAACCAGATGTGCCAGGGGGTGAGTTAGGGCTGTCACCTACCGAAACTGCGGTAGGAGAACCAGGCGTCACGAGAGTCCTTTGAGAAGCATGTACTACTTCTTCAGAGTTTTCACCCAACACATCATATGTCAGTCTTTTTGGGGGTTGA